GCTTATCGTTGAATTTTGGGACACGTTGTATATGCAAATCCTTGGGTATGCCCCTCCGGCAGTTTAATTTTTGAAGTTTACCAACTTTTGAAAATTTTTATTATTGTGCAAAAATTTTTATTTTGTGTTAGAGGAGACAGACCCTCTTGTAGGGTCTGTGTACATTAACATGGCGGATGGTGGGAGCCCGTTCGCGACGCGGAGGTCGCTGGCACGATCGCCTCCCGAGGCCTCGCAGGAACGACCTACAGTGGCGCCCCCGGCGCCACGTACGGCTTCTACCTCGAGTTTAGCTGAGAAACGGCCTCTGACATCTCCAGACGACCAGCAGTCAGTGGCTCAGCGGCAACGTTTGGAGAAAAAAAGGTTAGGCTGCAGTGCACCGGCCCTCGACAGTATACTTAGTAAAGAACCGGTAGCTGCAAAGGAGGATTCGGAAGCGACCACGCCATGTGGGTTTGATGCGGTCAAGACTCCAAGACTGGAGATTATTGAACACGCGACGAAGGCGGTTAGCACCATTATGGGAATAGTTTCTGGTCCGGGTTCGAAACTCAATAAGGCTGAGCAAACTAGAATTTCTGTCACGGGGCACGACTTTATTGCCAAGGTCGCGGCAATGGACGTCCATGTTATGGAGGCGGAACTGGCATTATGTAAGGCAGAGAGAGATAAAGCTTATGTGGAGGCGAAGCTGGCGCCCAGGAGGCCGCGCGTGCACCCGCAGGTGACGGGGACCACGCCCCGATAGTAAGCAAAAGCTTCGCTTCGGTGCTGAGGATGCCAAAGGGAACGGCGTCGGTGCCCATACCGGAAAAGACTGGCCCGGTTCTGGCTTTCTACCCGTCCGGAGAACAAGCGCACCTCAAGACTGGGGACGACACTAAGGCAGAGCTAAAGAAGTCAGTGAAGCCCTCGGAAATAAATATACAGGTGGCTAAACTAAGGAAGGTGGGGAATGCCGGGGTGGTGGTCGAGACCACGTCCCAGGAGGCGGCACAGAAACTGAGGACTGCAGCTCCTCCAACATTGAGGGTGTCAGAGCCACGACAGCGCCAGCCACTAGTTGCGTTGCGTGGCTTTGAGGATGATGCTAAGACGGAAGAAATCCTGCCGGCCCTTCACGATCAAAACTTCGGCGAAGACGAAAAGTGGACCCTGGAGGAGCTGTAGAAGCAGTGTAAGGTCGCCTTTAAGAAGTCGTGGAAGGGCAGCAGAAGGACCACGGTGGTGCTACAATGCACGACCGCGCTAAGGGATGCACTGACAGCTAGATATAGGCTGTACATAGGGTGGGACGTGGTCGAGCCGTGTGATTTTATAGACGTCACCTGCTGCCAGCGATGCCAGCAATACGGGCATCCCGTCAAATACTGTAGGGCGAAGGAGGAGACATGTGGCAGATGTGGTGAAGAGGGTCACAGCAGAGATGCCTGTAAGTCATCTGAGACCTGCTGTGCCACTTGTCGCAGATTTGGCAAGCCGGGCGCAAAAACCCATGCCACGATGGCGAAGGAGTGCCCAGCTAGGGTGTACGCTGAGGAGAGAGCGATCAACACCACGTAATATGGCGGCTAATAACAATATAAGCATTGGACAGCTCAATTTGGGACGTAGCGAGATAGCCACGAAATATATAATATGAATTAGCATCAACTTTCTGTGGAGATCAACAAAGAGGCGCAAATTGTATTTTAATTAAACAAGTATTAATTTATGAAAAATTAAACTTCACTACTGTCAATTAAATTATTAATAATTTCTATTTATAGAATCCCTAACTTCGGACTGAATGTGAACAAAATCTGACCCGAACTTGTTTTAAAAAAAATTGACTTCATGTAAACCCGTTACATGAAGTCAGTAGGCGTTATATAAAAGACATGAAGATTGTTATTACGGGTGACTTTAATATCAATACGTTAAAACCAGGAAAAATTAGCAGCTATTTATTAGATTTCTGCAACAACTACAATTTAAAAATACACATTGACAGTCCAACTCGTAAAAGATCTTGCATAGATCATGTCGTGTAAATCTCTGCAGCAACACTTGTGACGTGGCGTCAAACTCTGCAGCAGCACCTGTAACGTGGTGCCGATCTCTGCAGCAGCACTTGTGACGTAGTTTCAATCTTTGCATCAGCACTTGTGACGTGGTGCCGAACTCTGCAGCATCACTTGTGACGTAGTGCCGATCTCTGCAGCAGCACACATCACCAAGCTGAAATCATGGTACAAGTGCTTACAACATTTGTAATGTTAGGGTTATATATCAAATGGTCCATTTTATTAATCAAATAGTGTGTGTGTGTGTGTGTGTGTATGTGTGTGTGTGTGTGTGTGTGTGTGTGTGTGTGCGTGTGTGCGTGTGCGTGTGTGCGTGTGTGCGTGAGTACGTAGGTGCGTGTGTGCGTAGGTGCGTGTGTACGTATGTGCGTGCGTGCGTGCGTGCGTGCGTGCGTGCGTGCGTGCTTGCGTGCGTGCGTGCGTGCGTGCGTGCGCGTGTGTGTGTGTGTGTGTGTGTGTGTGTACACTACAAACTCTACTAGCCCTCTGTTTTGCCGTCGGTGGTTAAAAACATAGTTATCTATTTATCTATTTTGAATAGACAATATATCATCTAGTCAATCATATATCATATATCAATAGTCATAGGTAATAGACGACTGTGGGAAAAGACATCATCAAATCCGATAGAAATATTTGAAATACCCAGAGTGACAATGCAGAACATATAAATTTCTTAATAGGGAGGATTTCAACATAGTGAACATGCTTGGCAGGGGAGTTGGCCACTGCAGTTCCTCAGTTTTGAGCCTTTATCAGGAAGTTGCCTCTTACGTCACGTACGGGACAATATGAGAAATGCCGGAAAGATCTTACGGCTTCCGGTAGGTGGCGACATAACCATCTACTTACGTCAGACGTAAACAAACAGACCGGCGATAGGCTTCAGAGTCAAAGGTGACAATTAATGCATATCTCTCCAATCTGTCGTGAGAGGAAAATACATGGTCAGTTTTTGAGTCTGTTCTGTTGCGATTACCTTTACTAATAGGTTATGACGAGTGAGTGTCTTTGAGAGTGTATAATAGCGATGTCCTCCAGACAGAATAAGGACATTGCTTTCTCAACGGAGACTAGCCATGCTGCTCACTCTCGTAGTCCGATGCGACGGTAAATCAGATGAACAGAAGTATCTTCCCAATAACGACTAAAATAAAAAACCACGGCTACCAGCCCGCTTGCCAAGCGTGGCAACTATGGCAAATATCCAACATATGAGGCAATAAAGTGGAAGGTCTTTGTTCAGCGGTGAACTTTAATAGAGTGTAACGGTAACGGTAACGGTTGCAGGTGTCTTTGGGCTGCAGTATCCACTTACCATCAGGTAGACTGAAATCCGTTTGTTACTTCAATTTTACAGAAGAAAAAAACTACTTCTTGATAATTTCTTACACAGTTGACAAATTACTATTACTGTGGTATTTGCAACAAGGTTGAAAATCGAGCAAAGGTCGGCTCACACAACCACCAGCACCGGCTTACGCGAACGATGAAGCCGGAGATCTGATGACGGTGCCAAGTGGGCCAATTTTGGTAAGCAGAACTGGCGCTGTGGGATGAACCAAACGTAGTGTTAAGGCGCCTAAAAAACGCTCATGGGACACCATGAAAGGCGTTGGTCGCTCATGACAGCAGGACGGTGGCCATGGAAGTCGGAATCCGCTAAGGAGTGTGCAACGACTCACCTGCCGAAGCAACCAGCCCTGAAAATGGATGGCGATGAAGCGTTTTGCGTATACACTACCGTTACGGGCAAGTGCGACGTGTTCACTCATGTCGTCATTACACCGTAACGAGTAGGACGTGCGCGGCGGAGAGCGCAGAAGGGTCTGAGCGTGAGCCCGCCTGGAGCCTTCGTCGGTGCAGATCTTGGTGGTAGTAGCAAATACTCCAGCGAGGCCCTGGAGGACTGACGTGGAGAAGGGTTTCGCGTGAACAGTAGTTGCTCGCGAGTCAGTCGATCCTAAGCTCAAGGAGAGATCTTATGTCGATGTGGCGTGTTTTTTTTATTTCTAATATGAATTAGAGGATAAATAACGCCCTTTGAGCGAAAGGAAATCCGGTTCCTATTCCGGAACCCGGCAGCGGAACCGTTTCAATAATCGTTCCCTCATTTCAAAACGAGTGTTCGACGGGGTAACCCAAAGTGGCCTGAAGACGCCGCCGAGGGGTCCGGGAAGAGTTTTCTTTTCTGCCTGAGAGTTCGAGTTCCATGGAATCCTATAGAAGGGAGATATGGTTCGGAACGCGAAGAGCACCGCATTTGCGGCGGTGTCCGGATACTCTCTGCGGACCTTGAAAATTCAGGTGAGGGATGTAGGTGGAGACGTCGCGCCGGTTCGTACCCATATCCGCAGCAGGTCTCCAAGGTGAAGAGCCTCTAGTCGACAGAATAATGTAGGTAAGGGAAGTCGGCAAATTGGATCCGTAACTTCGGAATAAGGATTGGCTCTGAGGACCGGGGCGTGTCGGGTTTGGACGGGAAGCGGATGCGGCCGGTACCGGGCCTGGTCGATGCTCGTGCAAAATGCAAAATGCAAATGGGGTCCGCGGTGTCTGGGTGGCCCTTTCCAGTCACGCGGATTCAACTCCTACCCGAGGCCTGCACGTGGCGCCGCCGCTCAAGACCGACACGGGAGGGGGCGACGAGCCTAAAATAGTATGCTCCAAAAGCGGCTGTTGCGGGGTGATCGTCTCGTTGGCACATTCCTAATTCTGCGAGGCACAGCGCACATTTCCACTATAATCTCCCGTTAGGTTGTCTCATCGCGGCTTTTTAGTTGCGATGTTCACATGCAAACGGGAGACTGTAGTCAGGCTTGTGAGCGGGTTTACTAGATTCATCTAGTATGCGCAGCGTTCTCCATCTTGGAAAGTAACCCGTGCGAGGTTCAGGGTGAGATCCCTGAACAGTCCCTATGGGTGGCATTTATGTCGCCAAGTCGAACCGCTGACTTCGGTCGGGACCATTGCGAGAGCGGTAGGCGATCCAGGTGGCTGGGCTTGCGCCCCGGCCACATTGGGCAAACACAAGCACAGGACAGAACAAGAAAGAAAGAATTATTTTGCCACCCCGGCCTCCCACAGGAGCCGGGGAGCTTGGCCCAATCTTCGGCCGCTAAAATTGGGGCTTCGGCCACGGTTTCTGCGGTCTCTGACTGGACGTGTCCGGTGTGTGGACGTGTGTTCACCACCAAAACGGGGCTAGGGCTCCACAAGCGTAGGGCCCACCCCGAAGTAGCAAATGCGAAGGCCGCTCCAAACATGGTGAAGCGCAGGTGGCGCGATGAGGAGCTGGCATTGATGGCGCGTACAGGGGCGCAATTACTTGAAGAGACCGGTCGCTGTACGAACGCAGACCTGCTCGAAAGCCTGTCGGGGTTCGAGCGGACCCTAGAGGCCATCAAAGGAAAAAGGCGCTGTGGGGAATATAAACGCCTGGTACAAGAGTGCCGGGCAAAAGTCAAGGACAAATCCCCACCCAAGAGCAGCCAAGCGCCTGAGAGCAGGGGTTCGACACAGCCGGAATCCGAAAGTGTCGCGCTTTCTGTCCAGCCTCTGCCAGCTGAAAACGCACCGCCTGTCGCTGATGACCCATCACCGCACTACTGTAGTGTCCCAGATAACTCGTGTGCAGACCAAATTGTGGCGGATCTTCTTGAGAGGGCCGCGATGAGGAGGTCGCGACACGGCCTGGGTTCCCGTAGTGTTGGGCAATATCTCGGATGATAGGTTAAGCATGCTCGACGTCCAGATCCGGGGTGCGGTTAGGAATTGGCTGAGGCTCCCAAACGATGTTTCTGTCGGGTACTTCCACGCCGACATCAAGGACGGCGGCCTAGCGATCCCATCGCTTCGGGCGACCGTCCCGGATCTCATATCGAAGAGGTTCGGGCGACTCGACTCGTCGAGTTGGCCAGTGGCACAAGCCGCCGCCAGATCCGCAAGGAACCGAAAGAAGTTGAGCTGGGCCGACAAGCAAATCCGAAAGTTCACCAGAGAGGATCCGGTCACGGGCCTTAGGTCCGTCTCACGGTTTTGGCGAGATAGACTGTGGAGCTCAGTGGACGGGTTAGAGTTACGCGAATCCGCCCGCACTCCCGCGTATACGAAGTGGATGTGGGAGGAGTCTTCACATGTCTCGGGTCGGGACTTCGTGCAGTTCGTCCACACACATATAAACGCCATCCCGTCAAGGGTTCGAACATCTAGAGGGCGACGGATTGGTCGTGAGGCGGAGTTGAACTGCCGCGCTGGGTGCGTGGTTAGGGAGACGACGGCTCACACCATCCAACAATGTTGGCGGACGCACCGGGGTCGGATCTTGCGCCATGACCGTGTAGTGAGGCTAGTAGCAGAAGCGATGGCCTCAGACCAATGGTCGGTGGTGACTGAGCCTCATGTCAAGACCTCGAAAGGCCTTCGGAAGTCTGACATAGTAGCCGCTAAAGGAGGCGTCGGAGTGATCGTGGACGTCCAGGTAGTCTCGGGCCAGCGGCCCCTCAATGATGCTCACCTTGAGAAACGTAGTAAATACGGGACTCACGAGGAGCTAGTTGAGAAGGTTGCTGGTATACTAGGACTACCCAATAAGGATTGCGTCCACGCGACCTCTTGTACGATCTCCTGGCGAGGTGTTTGGAGTCACTTCTCCTATAAGGAGTTGAAGAGACTCCTAGGGCTGAAGGAGAGTCTGTTGAGAGCTATACCAGTGGTGGTATTGCGCGGCTCGCACATGAACTGGACACGTTTTAGTCAGATGACCGGGACTGTGGTGGGAACCCCAGTGTGAGTGCCCGGGGTCCTGTGGGACTCCTGGGCTGCTGCCGAGCCCTTGGTAGTCGTGGCCATGTGCCTTAGATGGCAAAGACCAGGTTCCCCTAACATCAAACGACCACCTACCAGTAGCAATCGGCACAATGCTGATCAGCCTCTGTAGACGGGAGATTGGGGACATGTGGCGTCTCTCGTGGCATCCATAATGATTAGTGATTTCGTTCACTAAGACGATGGTATGATGATCGGTGGAAATAGCCAAATGCCTTGTCATCTAATTAGTGAAGCGCATGAATGGATTAACGAGATTCACACTGTCCTTATCTACTACTTCGGATACTTCGGATCGGACGTGTCGCGAACTCGCGCTGCAAGTATTTCGTGTCAAATAGTTTTTATTTTGCTTTTATTGTGCTTTTATTTGGGATTTTGGTTATAGATACTTTCATTTAGTGTATAGTGGATATTAATGTACAGTTTGTCGCGAATTAACGCTTTATTGGACTTGTTTTTGTGTTTTTGTGACTATTTTAACCTAGTGGGTAGTGCTAGCACGCGGCTGTCGGATTCAAATTTTGAATTTGACAGGTTGGTCGAGATCCTTCTCGAAGCTTCGGCGGCTTTCCGCCACCAGGAGGCGACAGTGTGCACTTCCAGCACTGCGACGTCCTCTCTGGGCACCGTGCGCTTAACCTGCACGGCTTGCGTCGTCTGTGCAGCGAGGTGGAATTCGGCTGCTCTCCGCTAGGTGGCGCTGGAGACTTCCCGCGCCTCGGCGACACCTGTGTTTAGTTAAGTAAACTATCCGTACTCTTTGTGGCAGTGACACTTTTAGTTTAGATTTTTAATTATAGTTAGATGCCGCTAGATGGCGCCAAATAGGTGCTGAGTAGCTAGCGACATCTATTATATTGGCCTGTGACAGTGACACTTTTAGTGGTTTAGGTTTTTGTACTTTTATTTTATTTAGTCCGAGTGTGTTCCGCTAAAGGGCGCTGGTGTGTTTTTCCTACACCCTGACATCCACCTGGGAAATTGACTTTTTATTTTTATTTATTTTTGGACTTTGGAATATTTTATGAACCTTTCGCTCCTATATAGATGTAAATCCTTAAGTATGCCCCTCCGGCAGTTTAATTTTTAAAAGTTACCAACTTTTGAAAATTTTTATTTTTACTTTTATTTTTGTGTGTGTACATTACGGACTAAGGAGAGACTTAGATAGGGATAATGGGGGACGAACCCCCCCTGTTTGTGCCGCGGAAGTCGCTGGCGCGCACGCACCCTCAGGGTGCTCCGGCGAGGCCTGTTGCGGGCCCCAGCTCGCAGAACCCAAAGGGAGGCTCGAATGCGGCTCCGGAAAAGCGACCGCTCACGTCCCCGGACCAGCCGCAGCCCGTTACTCAGCGGCAGAAGCTGGAGAAGGAAAGGAAGAAAGGAGCGACTGGGGCCCCAGCTGCTGGAATTCCCACCTCGGAGTCAACGAGGCAGACTCTAGAGGAAGACCTAGAGTCTCTAGAAGACGTCTTTGACGCCTCCAAGGCCACACCCTTGGAGATAATCGAGCATACACGGGCTGCTATCAGGACAATCATGGGCATCGTGACTGGCCCGGGCTCCAAACTGAATAAGTCTGAAGTGAACAAAATTTCGGCAACCGGGCAGGAACTGATAGCGATGGTCGCTGCAATGGAGGTCCACGTTATGGAAGCCCAGCTTGCACTCTGCAGAGCACAACGCGACAAATCGCAAGCTGAGGCTAAGCTGGCGCATCAGGAGGCCACGCGTGCACCCGCTGGTGACGGGGACCATGCCCCCACAGCAGGGAGTAGCTTCGCATCGGCATTAAGGATGCCGAAAGTGTGTCGTCAGTGCCCATCCCGGAGAAGTCTGGCCTAGTCTTGGCCTTCTAGCCAGCTGGGGAACAGGCACACCTCAAGACAGCGGACGACACGAAGGCCGAACTGAAGAAATCGGTGAAGCCTTCGGAAATCAATATACAGGTATCGAGATTAAGGAAGGTGGGGAATGCTGGGGTAGTGGTCCAGACCACGTCCCAGGAGGCGGCACAGAAGTTAAGGACTGCGGCACCACCAACGCTCCGGATTACGGAGCCCAAGCAGCGCCTGCCTTTCGTGGCGTTAAGAAGATTTGGGGATGATATTAATAATGAGGAGCTACTGCCTCGATCCACGATCAGAATTTTGGAGATGATGAGACTTGGACCCTAGAGAACCTTAAGAAAAATTGTAAGGTGGCTTTCAAAATGTCGTGGAGAGGCAGTCGCAGGACTACAGTGGTGCTGCAATGTAGTTCTGGTCTGAGGGACGCTTTGACAGCCCGGAGGAGACTGTATGTAGGGTGGGACGTGGTCGAACCATGCGACTACGTCGACGTCACCTGTTGCCAGCGATGCCAGCAGTACGGCCACTCCGCAAAGTACTGCAGGGCCAAAGAGGCAACGTGTGGCAAATGCGGAGGGGAAGGCCATGCAAGGGAGGAATCACCTCAACTGAGGTCCGTTGCGCCACCTGTAAAAAGTTTGGCAAGCCGGGCGCCAAATCTCATGCCACGATGGCGAAGACGTGCCCGGCTAGGGTGTACGCGGAAGAGAGGGCCATAAATACCACGCAGTATGGCTAAGGACGACCAGATATCTATTGGGCAGCTTAACCTGGGACGGGGTGAGGTGGCAAAGGAGCTACTATGGTTGTTTGGTGGGACGCTATTCTCAAAGGCGCTCTCTGCGTCTTGGTTTAACTCACACCTAAGTAGCTTTGCCCAAGTCGGGTCCCTTCATTGCGGGGCTGCTGACTATCTGCCCTCCACGATGTTTTATATAACAACATAATATTATATCTCTGTAACTTTCCCACCTTTGAATGATTGAAGGCAACTTGTTGGTGGTGATGGTTGGATGGTAGGATGGTTAGAAATGATTGACGGGAAGCGGATGCGGCCGGTGCCGGGCCTGGTCGATGCTCATGCGTCTCTCGAGGCGTGCGGACTGAATCCGGACCCGCGTTCCGGCCTTCCGCGGATCTTCCTAACCGTAAGGTCGCGTCGATTTCGTTTCGTGCGCGATCGGCGCGCGCCTGTACGACCGCCGTTCAACGGTCAGCTCAGAACTGGCACGGACAAGGGGAATCCGACTGTCTAATTAAAACAAAGCATTGCGATGGCCCTTGCGGGTGTTGACGCAATGTGGTTTCTGCCCAGTGCTCTGAATGTCAACGTGAAGAAATTCAAGCAGGGGCGGGTAAACGGCGGGAGTAACTATGACTCTGAGGTGGGTCTCCGCGCTGTGGTGCACGTGGTGAGACCGATGACACCGATCGCTGAGGCCCGAATAGGCTCATAACGGGGCGCAGCGGGGTCGCCTGCTTGCGTCTCAGCCCTAACGGGAGGAGTTCGTGGGTGCTCCTCTCTAGATGGAATCCTGGTGTGGTGGGCGGGAAACCGCCAGCCATTTTCCGACCATTCAAATACACGACCTCTGTCAAGTTAGCAAATGGGGTCCGCGGTGTCTGGGTGGCCCTTTCCAGTCACGCGGATTCAACTCCTACCCGAGGCCTGCACGTGGCGCCGCCGCTCAAGACCGACACGGGAGGGGGGGACGTGCCTAAATTAGTATGCTCCGAAAGCGGCTGTTGCGGGGTGACCGTCTCGTTGGCACATTCCTAATTCTGCAAGGCACAACGCACATTTCCACTATAGTCTTCCGTTAGGTTGTCTCATCGCGGCTTTTTGGTTGCGATGTTGACATGCAAACGGGAGACTATAGTCAGGCTTGTGAGCGGGTTTACTAGATTCGTCTAGTATGCGCAGCGTTGTCCATCTTGGAACGTAACCCGTGCGAGGTTCAGGGTGAGATCCCTGAAAAGTCCCTATGGGTGGCATTTATGTCGCCAAGTCCAATCGCTGACTTCAGTCGGGACCATTGCGAGAGCGGTAGGCGATCCAGGTGGCTGGGCTTGCACCCCGGCCACATTGGGCAAAACACAAGCACAAGACAGAATAAGAAGAAAAGTATTATTTTGCCACCCCGGCCTCCCACAGAAGCCGGGGGAGCTTGGCCCAATCCTCGGCTGCTCAAACTGGGGCTTCGGCCACGGTTGCTGCGGTCGCTGACTGGACGTGTCCGGTGTGTGGACGTGTGTTCACCACCAAAACGAGGCTAGGGGTCCACAAGCGTAGGGCCCACCCCGAAGTAGCAAATACGGAGGCCGCTCCAAACATGGTGAAGCGCAGGTGGCGCGATGAGGAGCTGGCATTGATGGCGCGTACGGAGGCGCGATTACTTGAAGAGACCGGTCGCTGTACGAACGCAGACCTGCTCTAAAGCCTGTCGGGGTTCGAGCGGACCCTAGAGGCCATCAAAGGGAAAAGGCGCTGTGGGGAATATAAACGCCTGGTACAAGAGTGCCGGGCAAAAGACAAGGACGAATCCCCATCCAAGAGCAGCCAAGCGCCTGAGAGCAGGGGTTTGACACAGCCGGAATCCGAAAGTGTCGCGCTTTCTGTCCAGCCTCTGCCAGCTGAAGACGCACCGCCTGTCGCTGATGACCCATCACCGCACTACTGTAGTGTCCCAGATAACTCGTGTGCAACCAAATTGTCGCGGATCTTCTTGAGAGGGCCGCGATGAGGAGGTCGCGACACGTCCTGGGTTCCCGTATTGCGAGGCGACTCTGCATCTCGAACGTGACTCGGGCCGACACCGCACTGGCCGGTATGTCGAGCCGCAAGCGGAGGAGAATAGAGTACGCCAGGGTACAGGAACTCTTTCGAACGTGTCCCAGTCGAGCAGCAGCCGAGGTGATCGACGGCGTGCACAGGAGCGTTCGGCATTCTCTCGAAGAGTTGGAAGCCTATTGGCGACCAATCCTAGAGAGGGTGTCGGATGCCTCAGGGCCTACACCGTCTGCGCTGAACGCCTTAAGGCGGGAGGAGCAGTATGGGGGCGCACGTGATTACTCTCGGCTGTGGGTGCCTTTCACGACCGACGAAGTGAAGGCATCCAAGTTCAACTGGCAAACGGCACCTGGTCCGGACGGTATCCGCCCGGATGAGTGGCGCCTAGTTCCTGCGGCCCGAAAAGCGGAAATATTCAACTCTTGGTTGACCACTGGCGTAATACCAGAGCCCTTGCGGCAATGCCAGACTATCTTCGTGCCGAAGACGGACGTTCCTGCTGGGCCGGGCGACTATCGACCGATTTCTATCGCGTCGATACCGCTTAGGCACATGCACTCGGTCCTGGCGCGGAGACTTCTGGATTGCTGCCCCCCCGATGCACGACAGCGTCGATTCGTCTGCGCCGACGGCACGTTGGAGAATTGCGCCGTGCTGGACGCGGTGCTAGGGGATAGCAGGAAAAGGTTAAGAGAGTGTCATGTGGCGGTCCTCGATTTCGCGAAGGCGTTCGACACAGTGTCTCATAGAGCGCTGGTCGGGCTACTCCGGGCTCGGGGGCTACCCTTGGCATTCTGTGATTGCATCTCTCGGCTGTACGACTCGGCGACCACCACGTTGGATGTCGGCGTACAGTCGAGCGCACCTGTCAAACTGGGCCGTGGTGTGCGTCAGGGAGATCCGTTGTTGCCCATCCTGTTCAATATGGCGATGGACGTAATTCTTGCCGCTCTACCGAAAGAGGTAGGCTATAGGCTGGAAATGGAGCGAGTCTCGGCTCTGGCCTATGCCGATGACCTAGTCCTGCTTGCAGGCTCAAAGGTAGGGATGCAGGAATCCATTGACCGTGTGTTCGAGGTTGCGTCGTCGATGGGTCTCTTGGTAAACAACAACAAGAGCTCCGTCTTGTCGATGGTGCCCGACGGAAAGCGCAAGAAGCACCACTATCTGACCGAGAAAAAATTCCGGATAGGTCGGAACTGGCTGAGTCAAACTTCCTGCGTGGAACGTTGGCGCTATCTCGGCATCGACTTCCAGGCGTCTGGATGCGTGATGTTAGAGCATGACATCAAAGTTGCCTTAACTAACATCTCTAAGGCACCCCTCAAGCCGCAGCAGCGACTCGAAATCGTGAGGGGACACCTTATTCCGAGATTTTTGCATGGCCTTGTGTTGGGCAATATCTCGGATGATAGGTTAAGCATGCTCGACGTCCAGATCCGGGGTGCGGTTAGGAATTGGCTGAGGCTCCCGAAGGATGTGCCTGTCGGGTACTTCCACACTGACATCAAGGACGGCGGCCTAGCGATCCCATCGCTTCGGGCGACCGTCCCGGATCTCATATTGAAGAGGTTCGGGCGGCTCGACTCGTCGAGTTAGCCAGTGGCACAGGCCACCGCCAGATCCGAAAGAAGTTGAGCTAGGCTGACAAGCAAATCCGAAAGTTCACCAGAGAGGATCCGGTCACGGGCCTTAGGTCCGTCTCACGGTTTTGGCGAGATAGACTGTGGAGCTCAGTGGACGGTTTCGAGTTACGCGAATCCGCCCGCACTCCCGCGTCTACGAAGTGGATGCGGGAGGAGTCTTCACATGTCTCGGGTCGGGACTTCGTGCAGTTCGTCCACACACATATAAACGCCATCCCGTCAAGGGTTAGAACACTTAGAGGGCGAAGGATCGGTCGTGAGGCGGAGTTGAACTGCCGCGCCGGGTGCGTGGTTAGGGGAGACGACGGCTCACACCATCCAACAATGTTGGCGGACGCACGGGGGCCGGATCTTGCGCCATGACCGTGTGGTGAGGCTAGTAGCAGAAGCGATGGACTCAGAACAATGGTCGGTGGTGACTGAGCCTCATGTCATGACCTCGAAAGGCCTTCGGAAGCCCGACATAGTAGCCGCTAAAGGAGGCGTCGGAGTGATCGTGGACGTCCAGGTAGTCTCGGGCCAGCGGCCCCTCGATGATGCTCACCGTGAGAAACGTAGTAAATACTACTCACTAGGGACTACTAGGGACTCACGAGGAGCTAGTTGAGAAGGTTGCTGGTATAATAAGGATTGCGTCCACGCGACATCTTGTACGATCTCCTGGCGAGGTGTTTGGAGTCACTCCTCCTATAAGGAGTTGAAGAGACTCCTAGGGCTGAAGGAGAGTCTGTTGAGAGCTATACCAGTGGTGGTATTGCGCGGCTCGCACATGAACTGGACACGTTTCAGTCAGATGACCGGGACTGTGGTGGGAACCCCAGTGTGAGTGCCCGGGGTCCTGTGGGACTCCTGGGCTGCTACCGAGCCCTTGGTGGTCGTGGCCATGTGCCTTAGATGGCAAAGACCAGGTTCTACAAACATCAAAGGACCACCTACCAGTAGCAATCGGCACAATGCTGATCAGTCTCTATAGACAGGAGATTGGGGACATGTGGCGTCTCTCTTGGTATCCATAATGATTAGTGATTTCGTTCACTAAGATGATGGTATGATGATCGGTGGAAATAGCCAAATGCCTCGTCATCTTATTAGTGACGCGCATGAATGGATTAACGAGATTCCCACTGTCCCCATCTACTACGTCGTCGGTACTCGTACTGAGCAGACGTATCGAAGCGCTCTCGCGTGACCACTTGTTGATATTTTTTTGTTGTTTTATAGTAATATTTCGCTATAATAGTTGTTTTTGTTTTTATTTTAACTTTATTTGTAGTGTTAAATAAACTGTGCAGTGCGCGTACTCTTTTAAACACTTTTTTTAACAATTTTCATTAGCTGTAAGCAAGTTTTAGGTTAGGTTAGACCACGCGGTTACCGCGTGGTAACTTTAGGTTAAGTATTCTTATTTCATTATTGAGTGTATTATTCCGTTTTTATTTGGACTTCAAACTATCTTTAAACTGTAAGTACTTTTGTTATATTTATTGTTAATTTAAATAATAAGAACTGAACTAGAATATAGGTTAGATTGTGTCGGTGTTGTTTGACACTGACAGCTGTCATTGTATAAGACACTGACAGTGACGTTGGCAGCTGTCACTGACGGTGACATCTCATTGACAGTGACATTGACAGGGTGACCTATCATAATTCTCGATAGGTTGCGTTCCGTTATAAAATATTTAGTGGACTTGTCTTAAATTAAAATGGCGGATGAGGATGAGGGCTTTACGTCCAGGAAGTCCCTGACCAGGACCCCGCCAGGACCACTCGGCTGGCCGGTCGCGGTGCCCCCCTACCGCCAGTAGTGCCGGAGAAGCGGCCACTGGCGTCTCCGGAAGAAACGCAGGCGTCTTCCCAGCGGCCAAGCGCGCTGAGTCGCGCTGGAGTGTGGCACCGGTGGCAGGGCTTCTGACGAGGAATGTTGAAGAATCTGCTCCCGAAACGGAGGAGGAGGACTGCTTCAGGGATCCAAATCGGGGTGTGAGGGGGAACTTCAAAGCTACCACCGCTTCGAAGCTGGAAGTCATCGACCAGGTTCGGGAGGCGGTGAGAGGAATAATGTCCATAATTACAGGACCCGGCTCCAAATTGAAAAAGGCGAAGGTGAACTAGGTTTCATCATACGGACATGACCTCATCGCCGAAGCAGGCGCACTACTGTAATACTACAATGCTCGGCAGCATTACGAGACGTGCTGGTGGGGCATAATCGCCTCTACATTGGCTGGGACGTGGAGAGCCCTGTGATTACGTAGATGTCACATGCTGCCAGAGGTGCCAGCAATACGGGCATCCAGCCAAGTACTGCCGGTCAAAGGAGACTGTGTGCGGCAAGTGTGGGGAGACGGGACACGAGCGTGGGGCCTGCACAGTAAAGGAGGAAAAGTGCGCCACCTGCAGACGATTTGGCCAGCCCGACTCTGGTACGCACGTGACCATGGCAAGGAACTGCCCAGCAAGACTCTATGCAGAGCAACGCTCCGTGGCGACCACACAATACTGCCGATAAGGGCATGTCCACGGATTTTCGAGATCGAGCCATTAAAATGGGGCAGATCAACTTGGGTCGGGGGGAGCTAGCCGCGGCTGAGTTGCCTATTCTGGCGCGTGAACTGCACCTGGACATTGTTCTTATACAAGAACAGTACTCCCAGGCTGCAGGAATCGTCCAGGTGGGTGGTCACCCGTGGGCTGGTATCTATCTTGCCGACCCGACAATTGGAGTAGCATTGCTGAGCCACCTCAGCAATGAGTTCTGTGTGGTTTGCCACGTAAACCGATGGGACCTCTATGTGGTGTCAGCGTACTTTAAATACAGTGACACCATCGATGACCACCTGCACCACATGGAGGTCGCCCTGAGTTGCCTAAAAGGCAGAAGGCCTCGACGCAAATGCGCACTCGCCACTTTGGCACTGTGACCGCCGACACTACGTGGGTAGAGGCCAGAATGCGACGTACCGAAGGCAGCAAATGGAGGATTTTATATTCGCCCAGGGGCTTACACTGGCAAACCAGCCTGACCAGCCCTACACCTACTCTGGACCTGGAGGAGAGTCGAATGTGGACCTTACGCTGTCCATCGAGGAGGTTCACGTTGCTGAGTGGCGAGTGCATGAGGGAGTCTGCGCCAGTGACCACAACCTAATAACGTACGTAGCTACTACCAGCAGGCCGACCACTTGCACTGCACCCGTCAGGGATCCTCCCCGTTTTCGTGACCGGGGAGAGGATTGGGATAGGTTCCGGACGATTGTAAAGCTACGAATAGGATGGCTGCACGTTGAAAAACCCGCGGCCCTCCTGGCGGCGGAGTTCTCAGAGGTCGTAGTCCGCTCTGCGGAGGAAGGCTTAGAGGAGCGTCGCCCCAGGAGGTCGGGGGGTACGAATGGTGGACAGATGAATTAGATAAGACTCGGAAGCTGCAATGCAAACTTAGGCGTGCTTGGAAGAGTAAAATGCGTCTGGGAGGCAGGTCTGAGGAGATAGTCAGAACGGCTTTTCACAGCGTGCGTGCGCGATACAGGAAGATGATGGTGGAGGCGCAGCAGTCGCAACACCGAAAAGTTGCCAATTCTGGAAGTGAGGACCCACGGGGCCTTGCGTACAGAATTTCTAGCGGGAGGGTGCGTCCGCCTACAGGTGTGATCAATGGGATCGTCTTTGCAGGTGGGCACCCGGACAGCCTGGTTTCTGCGATGCGCGGAATAATGTCTGCGCTTTGTCCGGATGACAGCACCGACTGTGACTCACCATACCACAGGCAGGTTCGCCTGCTAGCGGCTTTTATTCCATCTGGTGAAGCTGCGTCTCCCCTTGCGGTTGGGGATCTGGAAGGCATAGTCAAGGCCTTGCCTAAAACGGCTCCGGGACTGGATGGTGTTAGTGCGAGAATTGTGAAGAATGTCTGGATGGCAGCACCGAGGGAATTTCACTCGGTGTATGCTAAGTGTCTTGTAGAGGGGGTTTTTCCCAAAGTATGGAAGGACGGAAGACTGATTGTCATTCCTAAGGGTAATGACAAGCCGCTCACCGACGCCAAGGCGTACCGTCCAATAACGCTCCTGCCTGTTTTGGGAAAGTTATTAGAACGCGTCATTCTAAGATGTGCTCCTGCAATCAGTCGTGGGATATCAGAGTACCAGCACGGATTTTCTCCGGGACGGTCTACGGTAACAGCGCTACGTGTATTGCTGCACGGCGAAGTATTCTCAGGCATGCTACGTACAAGCTATCTTCTTGGACATCTCTGGTGCCTTTGACAATGCCTGGTGGCCGATGATGATGGTCAAAGCTAAGAGGGGGAGGATGTCCACCTAACATTTATAAAATGTTGGTGGACTACTTCACCTCCAGGCGTGTGGGCCTCTACATCGGGGATCAGGTAGAGTGGAAGGCCTCGAACATGGGATGTCTTCAAGACTCCGTGCTGGGCCCAACACTGTGGAACTTGTTGATGGACGATTTGCTCTGACTCCCTCAGCCTAAGGGAGTCGTCATGACTGCCTATGCTGATGATGTCACAGTCTTGATTGAATCGGATACGAGAGCGGATATCGAATCTAGGGCCAGGGTCACTCTGGACCTTGTACGGGAGTGGGGGCTGAGGAATCGACTGAAGTTTTCCTCCTCAAAGTCAACCACCATGACTGTTAGAGGAAAATTTCAGCGCCCCCCCCGTTATTAAACTTGGTGGGGAATCTATCAAGACTGTGACTACCGCTAAGGTACTAGGCGTGGTTTTGGACTCAGGACTATCATTTGTGCAACATGCGACTGATATCTCTGAAAGAGCGACCAAGGGATGCGGCAAGATGACTCGCGTATCGATATCGTCATGGGGCGTGCGATACCCGAATTTTAAAATTGTGTACAGGGGAGTGTTTGTGTCCACGCTTGCGTATGCGGCAGAGTGCTGGTACGAGCGAGCGAACATGTATAAAGTCCGTAGCGTACTACTGAGATCGCAACGATCCGCCCTTGTATTGCTGACCAAGGCGTACCGATCCACTAGCACGGCGGCCTTACCGGTGCTGGCTGGAGTCCTCCCAGCTGACCTGGAGGTCATCCGTTCTGGTAGGATGGGTGTGGCACGTTTGACCGCGCCCAAAGAGGAGTTGAGCAGACGAAAACGCGAAATCTGGACTGAGGTGATAGGTGCTTGGCAGGAACGATGGATGAATGACACGAAAGGACGCGAACTATATCGATTTTTCCCGGAGGTGGCGTTGAGGCTCAGGTACACCTGGGTCTCACCGGACTATCAAACATCCCAGATTCACACCGGACATGGATGTTTTCGGAAGAGATTATGCGACATGCGACTGTGTGATACGAGTATGTGTGAGTGTGGTGTGTCAGAAGAGGATGTTCACCATGTTCTATGGGAATGTCCTCTGTATGACGACCTGAGAACGAAAATGATGGATGGACTAGTTCGTACGGTTCAGGGACCGATTTACTACTTGGATCTCGTCAGCGATGGGGTGAACTACGGACTGCTGCGCGAGTTTGCGCATAGGTGGCACGATCGCAGGATAAGGCAAGATAGAATGCTGGTAGTAAGGCCCGACGACGTAGGCGTTATTGTGCCGTCAGCCCCAG